CGCCTTCCCGCGGCCAGGTTGGCAGCGCGGGTCCCCGGCTGGAGCGGGCCTCGGGGCTGCCAGTGGGGAACCCCCTTAATTAGTAATTAAGCGCCGTGCTGGCGGGAGGGGCCGGATGCAGACAGTGAGGGGCCTCGGGAGGAGTGGTCGGGTACATCCCGGTCCGGTGACGCAAAATGGGATCATGGGGATGACATCAGGCTGGATCTGGTGGAGTTTGTGGAAAGGGGAATGCGGCGTGGAGGTGACGCAGTGGGTGTGGCACCGCGGGTTTGCTCAGAAACGGCTCGTGGGGCTGTGACGCGGTGAGGCTGGCCGGCGAGCAGGGGCAGTGGCTGCACTTGCCTTTGCCAAGATGGTATTGTCTGGCTCTTAGATTAATCCGTACAGTTCCTGACTTAATTCCTTGCTCTCTTCTTAACTTTTCATCTTCCAAAATTTTTTTTTAATCTTAAAGTACCGTTTTTCCTCCCAAAAGCTCGGCCCCCTTACCTGCTTCAGCAACGGGCCCTTGAGGATGAAGAGCACTTTCAGCAGCCATGTACCCTGTCAAGCACAAAAGGGCCTTGATCTTCGCTGAATTTTAGGTGTTATTCGGAAACAAATTTATCGGATTAGCCCAAATACATGCCACTTCTTTCCTTTTCAGAAGCAGCTGTCTGAAAGTACCGCTGCTCACAATGTCTCAGGGGTGAGTTTCAGCTCACGCTCCCTCCAAGAGTTCCTGGGTGCAAATTTTTGGCTTCCCCTTGAGTACAGGGGAGGGCTGTTGCTGTCTCGGTAGCGCTGCTGGTTCCAGAGCTGGTTCGGGGTTTGGTACTCCGAGGATGCCTATTCATACGAAGCGCTTTGGTTGGTGATTCTCCTCTTCTTGGTATTACCTCATTTCATACAAAACAATTAAGTGTTATTACAACCACACTTTTTTTTTTCCCTCTTCCACTTGAACTATTTTGTTGAGGTATTTCTGTTTAATATTTTGAAAGGACAGTAAGTGTGTTAAGTCCCATCCTAGAACACCTCTGATGATAGCTGCAAGCAAATTTTAAGTCATTAAACTTGAGAACATTTCAAAGCACTTCAGGGACACCCGAGTGGTCCTGTGCCTTTTCTGCAAGACGTGGATTCATTTAAACACAGCAATGTGATCCCAAAACACCTTGGAGAGGCTCACGTTCTCTTCCCTCGCTACTCTTTTGACATGACTGGGAGGTGTGTGAACATATTCAGAAACGTTACTCGAAAGAAAACTGCCACTTCTGGGATAACACTCATTATTTCTCCTGTTCCTTGTGCAGTGTATGATTTTTGCCCCTTTTTATTTCTTTGTTTCTTTTTTCTTAGCTTATGTATTTAATTTTTTGGCTTTTCATAGTCCTGATGGATCAGTTGCAAAGTGGGGAAAAAACTTTTTTTTTTCATCTCGTCATAGAAGCAAGTGATAGATTTTTACTTCAAGTTTGAAAAATGCAAAGCATGTTTTACAATACACTTGTTATGTTCATAGCCACATTTCTGTGGGCAGCCTCCAGCTGCCACAGCTTCCGTGTTTTCCACTGCTCAGCGGCACGTTCCGTCTGGAGCTCAGACTGCTGAGGGGGTCAAATAATTCCCCAGAAACTCACTCTTACCAGCGGTGAGGAGGGTGAAGGAACACAGCAGCTGTAATTATTGTCAAAACTGTATTTCTTCCATTCTCAATCATAAGCGCAGGCTGAGATGCAAACATCTGAGTCCAAGTCTTAATCTTTGCTTAGATGGGTTTCACTCAGCTGCGTGAAGGGTGTGGAAAGCTTGTGTGGTGTTGCACCTTTAGATCTGCACTGTTAGTGTCCCCTCCTCTCCCACATACCTTAAATGTTTTTCCATTAAGGGAAGAAATTTCAGTACTCTTTCAGTATCTTTGAAGTGTGTTTGATTATTTATGAAGAATGTATAAAGTTGCTTTCTAGCAATAGAATGGATTATCTTCCAAAATTTCCTGCTACATTTTGGAGTAGCAAAAACCTAAATAGAAAGCTCTGTTTCTAGGATATTTTTTTTTTCTGACTGTGCACACTGTTTGTCCTTGTGTGGACATAGGCATATCAAAGTATTTAAAAATATCAAATTAATAGTAAAGAAAATATTTTGGTAGATTTAAATTTTTCTTCTGTTAAGAATACTCTACATCTGGTCTGATAGACAGCAGTAGACTTGACTTGACCTGCCAGGGTGGTCCTAAAATGGTCGATGGTATTACTCTGTGGAGCTTCTCAAAGGGAAATAAAATTGGTTTTTTGTGTTTTTAAAAGTATATCTTCTAAGATATTATGCTAGCAGCATGCAAAACAGGAGTATTGATTCATTTGTGCATTTGGTTTCTTTAATTAGATAATATGTGTGATTTCACCCTTTTGACTGCGCCGAAAAATAATCTGAAACAAAACAATGCTGCTGTCCGCTCCTTGCCCTTTGCAACAAGCAGCAAGTGAAATCCTCCAGGCAAATTAAAACCAAATCCACTCCCGAGGGCTATTCTGGAGGTGGTGGTTCAGTTCATAAAATGAATCTTGGCAGATACAGGCCATTCACACTGAGGAAGGGCAGCACTTTTAAGAGAGAAGGCGGCAGAATGCCATAGTAGTCTTTCCTCATTTTGCAACAAGGGAAGGTGTTGGCTGCCTGCGCAGAGCTACAGCCTTGACGTACAGACGGGTTTCTGGTCAGGGAGCGGCGCTGTGAAACAGAAGGTGTGTCTTGGACTCTTGGAAGCACCAGCCCAGCTCTCTAACAAAGTCCTTTCTCTGGGCAAGGGTCCAGTTCTCTGTAGTAACCACGCAATTTGGGACAATATTCTCATCCAAGACTCGTTTGGGGTAATTGCAAGGATAAGAGGACAATAGATTTATCACACAGATGAATCCTGGACTAAAGGGAAGATCTATTCTTCCAGTAACAAGTAGGGTGAATAAATAAATATCTGTGGTTTGGGTTTTTTTTTCCAAATTTATTTTACTTTACAGCATCAGTCTCATGCCCAACTTGTCACAGCTTCCAATGGTAAGATTTAGTTCAATGCTGGGTGGATACACTAGTAGGTGCATACCTGCTCCAGTCAAGCCTTTTAACTAGTTAAGTCTTCTAAAATTTTCCCAAGATGTGGGATAAAATTAACACAGAGATATGTTGTGAAGACATTTGAGCTAAACCATCTTCTAGAAATCTAACCACAATTTCTCAGCTTGTCAACCCAGTCCATTCATGCAAGGCTGTGAAGCTTTAGTGTTTCATACTGGCTGTATAAGAAGCTATTGTTTTGAAATTCAGCTGTTGCTAATCGTGTTGCTACTAAATTATTTCGTGATTGTGCATTAAAAAAACAACTGTTTGGAGTGGTAGTTTAGGGACTGGCCTTATTAAGATTTATTTGTGTTTAACTTTTTCATATGAGTAATTGACTGAATCTTTTTAACTGTTGTCTGAAATGTATTGTAATATGGTAGTTCTAATTAACTGGGATGGATCGTTCCAGTTCCAGTAGTATTGATCTATACTTTATTTCTTTCACAGCAAGTTTGTGACATCTAAGCCTGGGTAGATAATGATTTACCCTACTCAGCACGCTGTACTGTTGGTAACTGTAGTTAGTGGTGATGCAGTGACTGTAGGACACCATAATAATGTTCTAGAGGATAGGTAATTTGTAGAAACTACTGGGGCTATGCATCAGTGTGCAGGTGGAAATAAACAATATTCAAGCAGGAGTAGAGAAAACTAGGAAGACCCATATGGCTGCCATTTTAATAGCACAAGTTTTACAAATGTTACTTCATTTAAGAGGAAAAGAGCTACAGAAACATGGTCTTATTTTCTGTTCTCTGACAGATAACAAAATTATCATGGTCATGGTAAAGATCTGATCAGAACCAAACAAGTTCTAACAGGGCAAGAGGAGGGTCTACTAGGGCTGGCAGATATTAGTGTGCTGCAGATATTTGGTCTTTCACCATGAGGCTGAGGATCTGAGCTAGTATTCGTAGAAGGGTTGGTTACCAGTTGTGGGTCTTAGGGCTTTTTTTGTTGTTTTTTTTAAGGATTCTGAGTTTTGACAGTGATGTAAGTTTTGAATTTGCTGACCCAGCTCAGCTGTTTGGGATGGGGCACATGTGGCCTCATGCTAAACGATGTATTTTTCTGACTGGATGCTGATCCAAGAGATATTTGGCAAAGTGTGCTTGCTACTTCTAGACTTGTGACAAAAAGAGGTAGCTGTGATTTTTTTTTTTTTGAAAACTTGGTTGTAAATTTTTTAAAGACCTAGGATTGATTTCAAATTACAGTGTGGTCAGAAGATGATTAAAACATGAAAATATTTCAGCAAAAAAGGCACCTTGTTCTGTTATCAGAGTCTAAAAAAGAATAATTTTAATTTTAAAATGACTAAGCATATTCCAGTGCGTAGGTGTTTCTTTGAGAACTGCTGTTAGGCTTATGTTCCTGAGCATCAATACTGAGCAAGTGTTTTCAGTCAAATCTGAAAGTTAAACACCAATGTAGTATTGTGTAAACCATCTAAACAGACCTCTGCGATTGCTTTTGTGCATTCACAAGTGTTAGCCTCATGAAAATTTATACTGCTTAATGTTCCTGTCATTTTGAAGTAAGTTAAAAGTTGATTTGCATTAATACAAATACTATAAGATGTCAGGGCTGCAGTATTACGAGATGTTTGGGCTTTTGGGCATGGGCAGCTGTGCTTCAGTGCCTTTCTTTACATAGTATTTTATTCTCGCATTTGTGTTTTCTTCAGATATTAACTGCAGAACTTGGCTAGCTTTTTGCTAAAACATTAGTTACCTCAGGCAATTTGGTCTTACTGGAAAGTTATCTTTCTTTTCGTTGCCATCTTGCATCATTTTTATGCTCTGAAAAATCAGTGGTACTCAACTTGAGACTTTAGGGTTTGCATTTTCTTGTTGGGATCATTTTGTTTCTCCCTGAATAACAGGTGCTGATGGCAGCACCCGGCTCACGGTGCCGTTGCTGAGCACGGATGTACAAACTGGGAGTGCAGTGAGCAAGGAGGAGTTTCTGGAAGTTAAAATGGAAGAGTTTCCTGCTTTCTTTCCAGTAAATCCCTTCCTTTAAAAGCTATTTCTAGCAAGAGTACTTCATGTTTTTTTATTTAATGGTAATCTCTCTTTGTTATAGCTATGTTGTAATTTCCTTGTGTAAACTTTCTAGAACAGGGATGTATCTTTAATTTAGTGGTGTGTGTTGGTGTCTACAGCCTGCAGGCATTAGATGACTATTCACTGACTATTTAGATAAAAGCACCCTACTGCTAGTGGCTCCTCCTGTCTGCAGTTAGTACCTTTGCAGAATTAACGTTCGTTACAGTGATTTCTGTTTTGTGGTGTGGTACTAGGGAAGCTGCTAAATAAATTTTAAGGTAGTTTTTTGTATGCAATGCAGTTTATTTAAGGTTACAATTATTGAGACCTTTTAATATTTAGACATTATTGTTCTTTGAAGTTTGCCTTACACTTTGAAAAGTCACAAGA